AATAAAAAATTACACTAGAAAAATATATTTCTATGTATATTGAATTAAACTGAATTGTACGATTAAAAAAGTTTAGATCTATTTATAGATCCAAAAAATTAAATGGAAAATATCAAGTTAGTATTGAATGCTATATAAGATATATCTAATAAAATTTATAATTATTTACACCTAGTAAAAATTAAGATTTTACTAAAACAACAATGAATAAAAATGATTAAAAATAAAGGAGCTATTAAGAAAAATGAAGAAGCTATCTTTTAAACAGAAAAATGATTTATAACTACTTACAACTGATGATAATTGAGAATCTAGTGAAACAATAATAAATACAAATTATTAAAAATAAAGAAGCTATCCATCTTTTAAATAGAAAAATTATTTAGAATTATTTATAGCTAGTGAGAATTGAGAATCGAGTAAGATAAATGCAATTTATTAAAAACAAACAAGTTGTTCATCTTTTAACTGATAAAATGATGCATGACCCACCCTGATCAACGTGAAGAATCAATTTCCCCACATATCCAATGAAATTGAACAGGCAACAAAATATGTACCAAAATACTCAACAACTGTACCAGTTCATTACCGTTTAAAAAATCACCATGAAAAATAGCCAGACCACTCAGAACGATCGCAGAACAACATTGCGCATCAAAATTCGTCTCCACCCGAAGAAAGTACAAGCGACCACTACCGGAAATTGAGAATCGATTCGTCCAATTACATATCCCGACGCATTGAAATCTCCTCGTCGATATCCATTAGCCGGACAAGCCGACGAGGCGGTTCTCGATTACGAATCGCGGCTCGCGCGCGGTCAAAAGTCACCGGGATTAATCCCAAGCCCAATTATTTCGCCGATTAGCCGGCCTCATTAAGGGGATGTCAATTAACCGCTCGGGATCGAACGAGACCGCGTCTGACCTTCCCCGAAGATATCCCTCAGGTGGCATTCTGCAAGAAATGCCGAACGTTCGACGGGGCAGGGCCGTCGGTACGAACGACCTTACGGTTTTCTGTATTAGGTAGAGCCGGCTTCTTGCTTGGAACACGGTTCCCGGTATCTCGAGACGGCCCACCGCGCCACTCTGACACTCTCCATGGGGTGTACATGAAGGAGTTCCTCAAGACGTCTCTTCGGTCGAGCACCCGAAGAAGTGAGTGACCTCCGAGAGACCCGTACGAGATCCGAGTTCTCTTCCTCGTACGCAAACGGAATCGGCGATCGAAGGAATGGTCTGTGGCTTCGCTTGGCAGCTGAACGCATTGCTGGATCTATCGATCGGGGGCTCGGAATTCGCTCGATCGTGGTACGACTGCCTCCGAAGACCCATTCCAGTACAGAAGTTCCGACTAATCGAAGTTTTTTCTCGCCGCGTTTTCCGAGACTTCGCTGTGTCCGGCGGGGTACAGCAGCATTTTTATTGTTATTAATACTTGAGGCTTTGTACTCGAGATGGCTTCCGGTCCACGTGCTTCGCTTTCCTTTCGGATCTTATAGTCGTCGTTCGGATTTCGCACTCGAAATTCTGTGAATTTACAGTCGAAATTTTACAAATTTTGCACTCAAAGTTTTACAAATTTTTTGAAGAGAAATTCTGCAAACTTTGCACTCGAAGTTTTACAAATTTTTTAAAGAGAAATTCTGCGAACTTTGTACTCGAAGTTTTACAAATTTTTTAAAGAGAAGTTCTGCAAACTTTGCACTCGAAGTTGTACGAATTTTGCACTCGAAATTCTGCACATTCTGCACACGAAATTCTGCAAATTTTGCACTCGAAATTCTGAAAATTCTGCACTCGAAATTTTGCAAATTTTGCACTCGAAATTTTGCAAATTTTGCAAGAGAATTTTTACAAACTTTGCAAAAGAATTTCTACAAATTTTACACTCAAAATTCTGCAAATTCTGCACTCGAAATTCTACAAACTTTGCACTCGAAATTTTACAAACTTTGCACTCGAAATTCTGCAAATTTTTCATTCGAAACTCGGCAAATTTTGCATTCGAAAATCTGCGAATTTTTCACTCGAAATTCTACAAATTGTGCAACTTTTGCACTCGAAATTTTGCAAATTATATTGATTCTATATTGCATTGCATTTGCAAATGATAAATAATAAATTAATTACTTGTGGAATTATTTAAAAAGATTTTTAATGCAATCAAAAATTTAATTATTACTTGCAAAAAAACTATTAATTTCATTTACAAAAAATTTGTTGTTTATTATTTAAAATAAAATCTTCCCAACTTGAAATATTTATTTAATAGTGAATTATTTCATAAAAGCCAAGATGAGAAACAAACTCAATTTACTAAGTGGAAAATTGCTTATATCAATGATACAGCAGAAATGTTTATAATGTATGTCGTCACGCATGTAGTTTTATAATTACTTATTGTGCAAGTGCCATGACTGCATAAATATCCACAGAGCTATGACCATAATTACTGTATTAATACTATCATAATGACTAGACCGTGGATTTTCATGCGAAATAAAAATTGTCCAAGTTAACTGAAAACAAAAGTGAGTCAAATAAAAATGTGATTCCACTTTGAAGAATTTCAACAAGTTGTACTCGAGTTTACAGTTATTCTTACAATTAAAATTTTATAATTGACATAACTGAATAATCGAACGAGAAATGCCAAATGAGTGGCGATTGTAATTCTCATTAGTGTGTGTCAA